CTCTTGCTCTCTCTCTCGCTCTTTCTCTCTCTCGCTCTCTCTCTCTCTGTCTCTTGCTCTCTCTCACTCTCTCGCTCGCTCTCTCTCTCTCCTCGTTCTTTTCATCATCACCACCCCTCGCTCCCACGGTCCTCGCTACCTTATTCCCCGGTTGAGTGTTTGTTGTTGTCTCATTATATATATATACCTCCATATTGTCTTATCACCGCCCCCCCCCCCCCCCCCGCCTCCTCAACGACTTTGGGAAGGAAACAAAGTGCTTTTCTTGTACACACACACACACACACACACACGCTATGTTTCCAATGCAAAGTGTCTCACTAAGAGGCTCTCTTATCGAATCTTCCATTTGATTTGGCATGCATCAAACTGCACTGTTATCTTTATGTTTTCAGACATGATACACATTGATACTGCTTATCTGGCGACAGCCAGGCTTGATTCATCCTATTGGACATTTTGGCAAAGAGGAGATTGATATCTTTGTTAAAGTGAATGTGAGTGGTTTGTTTCAAACTAAACAGTACAAGACCCCCCCCCCACACACACACACACTCACACACACACTGTCCCCATCCCACTCGCTCCTTTTTAGTGGAAACACTCGTATTCTTCAAAGAAGTAGTGAGTGATATATATGCAAAATATGTGCATTTTTAACGTAGTGTCAATGTGGCACAAAACTATAGGGGTTGCAAACAAACAAAGACATTATGTTTCTGAATTGTTTTGCTTTTTAAGAATTGTTTGTATTCAATTCACATTGTGTCTTGTGGCTTTTATTGTCCCACAATAAATCAAGCGAAATAACACTTTTAGACACCCTCTCATTTCTCGGTCTTCAGTTTTGAAAAGTGTTACGTAAACTCTTTTGGCATTTCAATAAAAGGGCACAGTCCCTCAAAGTGTCGTAGCAGTAGTACTAGTCAGACGATCGCGTACAGTCATGGCATAACCAGGGGGGCCGAGCTAAGATATATCAGGAACACAACATTAAAAAGAAAAGGGGAAAAACACATTAAGTTGGCGAGGGCTTTAGAATCACAACTATTATGTAGTGATAAAAAGGATGAAAACACAAACCTTGACACCGACAAACACAGACATGACAGGCATTAGCTTGTGATAAGCTTTGCGCGTCAGATGTGACATTTGTGTACTCCGTAATCGGTTTAGGGGCAGGAGTGGCGTACACAGAGCTAATGCAGTTTGGGGAAGAGTCATGCCTCGGTCCTTAGCTCCCGCCGCGCCCTGAGAGACGTCTTTGTTTGCAAAACGCGGACAACTCGTGAAACCTGCCGTGGATAACATTCCTCTGAAAACACATTTAACGCTCTATGTTTAGCCCGGCCCTGTTCTTATCTCAAATATATTTTTGGATATTTTATCTGTGTGTGTGTGTGTGTGTGTGTGTGCGTGTGCGCGTGTGTTGCTGTGAGGGTATTTAGCTGAACAAATTACACTTTCCTTCAGTTTTCCCACATAGGTTCCTATAGATATAGACATATGAACGGATGTGCGCGCGCACACACACACACACACACACACATAAAGGTCACAATGAGTAGCAAAGAGATAGAGAGAGACAGAGAGAGAGACAGACAGAGACTGAGACAGAGAGAGAAGCCAGAGATGGGAGGGGGAAACCGAGAGAGAAGCCAGAGAGACGGTATCCTCCTCAAAGCTTAGTGAAGCGTTGCTGTAGGTCTGACAAAGACAAAAGAAGGTGACAGACAGACAGACAGACAGACGGACGGACAGACGGATGGACGGGCGGCTGGCTGGGTGGGTGGGTGGGTGGGTGGGCAGACAGGCAGACAAACAGAGACAGATAAAAAGAGAGAAATGTTGAAATAGAGGTCAAGGGAAAACAGAAGAGCTAGACGGGAGTAGATAGACAAGAGTATGAGCCAGAGTGTGATAAGTGACTCCTCAATTCATTCGCTATCACCGGGGCCTTTCTTTTGTAGGAGTCTTTCTTTTGTCTTGAAGTGTATCATTACACTAATGCACATTAGTTTCATCTCATCCCCGAGATGAAACAAAACCATTTTGATGTTTACTTGGCCTTGTTACAAGACTTCCAGTATAGATAGCCGCATGATACATAGAAAACTAATAGAAAGAAAAAGCAAAAGCAACATCGTGAGTGAGCTAGATCACTTCGAACCATGTATATGTGTATATCTGATTTTTTTTTAGACTGCTTTTGGATATTATTGATGCGTCAAATGGAGTCAAATAAAATGTGCACTGGACTTCAGCCAATCCCATTGCTTAATCTACATCATCTAGAGCTAGACCATCACATAGAGCTTCCTGGTTCAGGAAAACATTCACATTCACAAACACTCAACGCTTTCTCAGAGAAGCAGGCCTTACACATTGTCAAATGGCTTCCTATTGATTAAAATGCATCTATTCCTAATGTTAAATCACTTCCTAAAGTGAATCACTTCTTACTTCACCAGCCCATCACCAACAACCTACCCACCAAATTCGCTTCAAATCTGTGCCCAACTTTTGGAGATAGGCACAGACAGGCACACAGACAGACACACAGACAGGCACACTGACAGGCACACAGACAGGCACACAGACAGGCACACTGACAGGCACACAGACAGGCACACAGACGGAGTGAGAACATCACCTCCTTGTCGGAGGTAATGAGACTTTCCAAATAATTCTGTGCTGGAGTGAAGCGACAGCAAACTCGGTATCACAGTATATCAGTAAGTAAGGATGCAGGACGACATCTACAAAAAGGCTTGTTTATTTGCACTGAATAAAGTATATAAATCAATTTGATCAAGGTCAACCATCCTATTAGCCTTTTGTTGATAAGATGTGAGAATTTATTGGCTGTAAAGTTGCCTACTATACGTGTGAATTGTTGGTCCTTGGACTACATTCAGAATTGTTAAGTCTTTTAAACGCATTGTGGGTGTAATTCAACAAAACGACGAAATTTCCTTCAAGGCACGCCGACTCCAATTGTATACTCAATCACAGATTTCCCAGAAAGCACCTACTTTGCACTTTCTTCCAGCACTCACCGCCATTTTCTGAGACATACATTTTATTACATTTCTAACATATTTAACAGCAACATATTTATACAACATGCTCTGAGCCACTCAAAAAAAAACATTTCTCTTCGGTTATTTCTCTTCCTACGTCTTCTGTGCGTTTCAACTAGCAGTGTTTCATGATACACTGGAGGAAACGCCCCCACGCTCAATGGAAAAGGCTGATGCTTAAATGATCCACCGCTAATGGTGCAGTCATCTGATTCACCTTAGATACGGACTGGTCATGGTTAATGTTCGCCTCTAGGGTCAAAGGGAAGCGTCCCTTTAGCTAAGCCATTTCCCATCGCAGAAGATCCTGGATGTGTGTGTGTGTGTGTGTGTGTGTGTGTGTCTAGTGGATGAACTTCAGTAGGTCAATGGTTGGTCAAACTGAAAAATCCATAGTGACTTAGAATTACTGTTGAGCTTGCTAGTATAGCCAATGTAGTGTGTGTGTGTGTGTGTGTGTGTGTGTGTGTGTGTGTGTGTGTGTGTACCCACTAGGTCAGAGGTTAGTAAAACTGTACTAAATCTATCACATAAATCAATCATCTTCCATCACTGGCAGATTAAATGTCTACATGACCAACACATCCGCAAGCCTTTATACACACACACACACACACACACACACACACACACACACACACACACACACACACACACACACACACGTGCGCGACCCCACACACACAGACACATACCCACACACACACACCCACACATACGAGTATTTAGCATCTGCTCTGCAAGATTACGTTGGGTCAATAAAGGTTATATTTAGACAATATAAATCCAGTCCATCCAAGTCTTTACTCTTTACATCAACTGAGTCTGTGACTTAAATATACACACCCACAGACACACACACACACACACACACACATACACAAACATACTGTATATTCACACAATACACACAGACAGACAAACACACACGCACAAACACACACACGACAATAAAATGGATCTGACGATTGCTGAGAAACGAGATAATAGTCTGAGCAGTAATAGTCTTAGATTACCTGTCTCAACTTGATCTACAGCTATCTAAAGTGTGTGTGTGTGTGTGTGGGGGGGGGGGGGGGGGGGGGGGGGAATATAGTGAAAATATAGCTGAAGCAGGTTTAGTGCTACGGTTGTGGACGGCGGACGCTTCCACCAAGTCCATGGGTACAACATGGTTTTCTCTCACTAAAATGACCGGCCTCTTTTCCATTTTCAACCAAATGTGACCAAAAGCACACCCCCTGTGGGTCACCTATGAGGAAATGTTAGCCACTTGAAAATCCAAGATGGCGGCCATTTTTCAAGACGGCCACCACTGAATGACCCATATTCCTTATAATAGACATTGACCTCTAGGCATGGACCACATGTAATGATGTTGGTATGAATTTGCATGTTTGTGACCATGCCAAAGCCATTTGTGAATATCTCATTCCCCCTCACATGCATTATTTTCTAATTTCTGACCATTTTCTTTTCTGGCATAGACCTTCCTCTCCTCACCCTGGCATAGACCTTCCTCTCCTCACCCTGACATAGACCCTCTCTCCTCACCCTGACATAGACCTTCCTCTCCTCACCCTGGCATAGACCCTCTCTCCTCACCCTGACATCATTTAGGGCATTTAGCAGACGCTTTTGTCCAAAGCGACTTACAATAAGTACATTTGTTAGGAGAAAGTGCAACAGTAAACTGCTATCAGTAGAGTAAGTATTTCACAGGAACGAGTTTCAAGCACACCTAATTGCCAAGTTAACCGATTGCTACTATACAAAAGATAAGTGCGAACATTTTGTATTTTATTTTTTTTGTATTGGGATGTGGGATGAGGAGGGGTAATAGAGGAAAGATGCTAAGCAGGGTCCAGGTGAACTCTGAAAGAAACAGTGTCAATGAGCCTTCAGCAAACAAGGAACCGCCTGAACAGGGACTTGAACCCTGGACCCTCAGATTAAAAGTCTCACTCTGACATAGACCCTCTCTCCTCACCCTGGCATAGACCTTCCTCTCCTCACAACGGGGAGGCTGAGGAGTATGATTTCCATCATTCACTAACTCTATTCCCAGTGGGGAAATGGGGTGATTTGATTGGAAAATAATCCAGTACACCAGTGCTGTCAATCTCAATACACTGTGGTCTGAATAGTACAACTGATTAATGTAACATTGATCATGAACTGCATTTATCGGTAAGAGGATAGTACTAGCAAATGCATCATAATATTTAAACTGGTTAAAATGGTCAGAAATTAGAAAACAAAGCATTTGACAGGTATGACGTATGCATAATTGCCATTGGCATCATCGCAAACATACAAATTCATACCAAGGTTATTACATTTGGTCCATTTCTAGAGGTCAATGTCTATTAAATGTAACGTTAGTCATTCAGTGGTGGCCACCGTCTGTATCAACAGCAACAATATCTGTTGATAAACTCAATAGATACGATTTTCTATGCACTATACTATACAACTATACAAAGTAATTAGAAACAGACATTTACTCATTACGTCCTAAGGACTGCCTGATTTCCATAACACACATTCTCCTATGCTCTTGTTTTGACTAGTGGCATGGAGTCCAGCTCTTTGTTTGTCCATGGTACATTCGAGTTTGTTCATTAAAAAATATCAAGCTTATTGTTCAGCGTCCAATTAACCCACAGGTTCATACCGCCCCTCCTTGATGTGTGTGTGTGTGCCTTTCCTGACTGCTGCTCGAGTCTGCAAGGCAGGCAGCAAACCATGGTCACATCAATATAACCTGAATAACGGCAAAACGTGGCGTCCACATTGCACATGTATTTCCACGTCGGCATCGTGGCTAGTGGGGAGAGTCCTTCAATTCAACACAATTTCCAACTGTGGCTCCGGCCGGCTCAGGTGAATCAGTACAACATGGGTATCCATATGTATAGGACTAACCATCAGGGATGAAAACCATCAGGGATATCAGGCAGGAGTGTGTTTGCGTGAGAGGCACTTCAGCTTGTTGCTTCGGTTGCTTCGGTGTCGAACAATATAAAGAGTCAGCCGTTCTTTTTTTCACATCACACAACAACAGCTTTGACAAGTCGTGACTTGATAGATTCAAATGTCGTATTTTATCAATGATTAACATTTTTATTTTCCCTTGAATGTCTGTGTGTTCCCATCACACAGCCACCATTTTCACAATGTAGAGCCACTGCTGTGTTGATTAGAAAATAAAAATCACATCATGCTTTTCAGAAATACTAAAACCTCTGAAATAGTCAATATTGGATCCCTGTGACTAAATGCTCCTTGGCAGATCTGACATTTTTAGTATGAGTATAAAAGCCAACAAATACCCAAAACAAAAAGCTGATCTCTTACGGAGAGAAGGTCCTCTGAGCCAGTTCAACAAGCAGCTTGTATCCAGCGGGGCCAAACAAACGGAGATGAATTAGGGTTTTAAGAAGCCATTACCCCCCTGAGTGTGTTTCATACACACTTGCACCCATTCACAACACATCGCTCATTTTAAAGGGCCCCTATTTTACCACCAGGTGTGATGTTGATTAGCCATTACAAAATCTACCCTCTGGTGACATCACACATGGGCGTGTCCACCCAGATGTATGATAGCTAGATCAGCCGACCCAGTGGACTGAACCAACTGGTAGGTTGATCTCTCATGGTTAACATCACACTTGGTGGTAAAATAGGGGACCGTTAAATCTCTTTTGGAATCATCTTTGGAAACCTTATTTCTTCTCATTTTCATATTTATTTTTCAATGCAAAAACATTTTTTACAAAAAATGACATACTGTTCCATGAACTATGTAACCTAAAACCATATGAAGCCATATTATACAGTATATATATATACATATATATATATATATATAGAGAGAGAGAAAATAGAAAATGTTTGTGAACTTGTGAAATACATTTTCTCACACATATTTCAGTGCTGTTTCTCACTTTTACACTTCATTACCTGACTGTCAGGATTATGTTTTGGAAAGCTTAGCACACACCGTTTTACATATTCTGTCTCTGAACAGGTAGCAGAGGGGTATGTATGTGGCACCTATATACAAACCCTGGATTGCCATTCAGGTCAAAGTGCCAACTGGCTGGCCAACTGTTTCAATGGCTGGCTGATAAACACAAGGGCAGGGCTGTGTTTGGCTGTCTAGTTATTTGAATGTTTAGAGGACAGTTACACCCGGCTTGTTCACCGACTGTGTGTTGTCTGTTTGTCTTGGGGGCTCCAATGGCTGATGGAGAATCCCAGGGGAGGATTACATGGGATCACTACATCTTACTCCGTTTATCCTTCTGTTGTCCTGCCTCTTTCTCCCACTGACTTGTTCTCTTGCCTTCTCTCTCTCTCTCTCTCTCTCTCTCTCTCTCTCTCTCTCTCTCTCACTCACTCTCTCTCTCTCTCCCTTTTCCCTTTCTGTGCCTCTCATGCTCTCACCTTTCGCTATCGGCCTATCGATCCGTCCGTCCGTAGGTCATCCAGTGCGTTTAAATGCATGCTAGATTGTACCCGGTTTACGGTGGCATGTGACTGGCATGTAAACACCGAACACTGGTTACGTCACCCGGAGAGGAGATCTAATGAAAAACAAATTAAAAATCCTTCTCTGCACTTATCGTATGTTCATACGGCCTGGCAATTAAATTGTACTTAGCATCGAATAGCAGCTTACCCTAGCTATCCATGCTGTATAGCAGAAAGGATATTCATCCTATCAATTATCATGCACTTAGAAACTTGTTGTATTGACATCCTTGCTGTACCGACCGTGATATATTGTTGTTTTACTTTCTACTGACACATGTACTTATTGTAAGTCGCTTTGGACAGAAGCGTCTGCTAAATGCCCTACATGATGAAGATGAGATTCAATTAAAAACAGATTGGGTATAAAAATCATTTAAACAAATTCCAAGGTTTATTGTTATAGGCCTATTACTGGTTTAATTCAACGCTAATTCTTCTGTTTACCACTTTTTTTAGGTGATTCTTTTGTTTGCCGATCATGGCTTGGCTTAACCACAGCAGACATCACCGTTTCACAGCATTTAACACTTTCCAGAAGGTGAGAAAACGGTCACCAAGAGTAGATAAACACATTCTGTCTGTATCGAGGCTCGAGTAGGCGGACCACTATTACATTACTACTTTATTTCTAATAAAGTCGATTTGTTGATTTTAATTGTTTCCCATACATTCAACAACCAACACATTTATACACTGATCACACTAATACCCATCATAGCACATTGTTTTCTGTACAATATATTGTACAATATAAGGTGTCATATTGTGAAAGTCTAATATTACATTTAAATACACTGTAATTAATGTTAATGCACTTAAATGTTTTATTTATATGTATTACAATGTTAAAAGATCTTAAATTATCCAAATCTTAACTACCTTCAGGGTATCTTTTCCACAGGGTACCTTTGCCTGTTACTGACTATTATGGGATTTTAAGTTAAAGAGCATGGTCAGTGTCAGAGAGTGTCGGAGCCAGTAATTACCATGGCAACAGGTCACAAATTGGTGTCATCCTATTTGAATTAGTGAAATAAGAGAGAGATTTTCTCACCGATTTTTTTAAACTTTTGAGTCCAAGAACACAGATTAGAGGAGAGAAAATAAAATACAAGTTAAAACAAGCCAACATGATCATATACACTGGGATCAATTTGAGTCTGTGATAAATGTTGTCATTTTTCATCCTGGATTTAACGCCAGACGTGCCACATTTAATGACGCCTGATTGATTAGGTCGTGCCTTATCATAAGTTGTTAATAATGCATCCAAGTAAAAAATAATTCACATACGGCGTTGAGCCAAATAAAAGGAGGCCAAACTGCCTTTTTTGTGACACATTGATCAATATTGACCCTATGGTTAATTGAGAGTGCCAATTCTTCCAGAACAGAAAGGAGAGCGGACAAGGGAGACGACATGAGACGTAAGACAGAGAGTATGTTTACATGCACACTGATCTGAACCCGGTAAGGCAATCAGCCATGTTAACACCTTAAGTCAGTGAAGCAAATGGTTTTTCAAGACAACTAGATAACGCAATCCTCATCCGATGTAATTTGATACACCATAAACTGGTTAAGATCGGTGTATTCATGCTGCACATCCACCATCCAAAGGTCAGAGATTCATGTCACATCCAACCGAAATAGCTGATCAGATGCATAAAACACCAGCATTTTCAGTATTGGCACATCAGCGACCCACGAGTGCCAACCGTCGTGCCAACACACTTGAACTGACAAGAAGACGTCTTCTATGTTGGCTCTAATGACATGATAAATCATCGGAAATAAATCTCAAACTGTTTATTCAGCATTAACGAACTAAGCTGTGCATGCAGATTGAAAAAAAAGTGGAAGAAACAATAGAGGAATAAGAATGAAACCAAGAGACACTAAGCTATGGCTTGGCTGTGAAATGCTTCTCCTTTAATATGAAGACCCGAATGATTCATGATGACCCTCTTCCACTAAGACCCTAAAACCCACTGGCTGAAAAGATGCACACGCACACACACACACACACACACACACACACACACACACACACACACACACACACACACACACACACACACACACACACAGGGGGGGTCAATGAAAAAACAACTGAAAAGCCCAACCGTTATATTAGATATGCAGATATTATTTGGAGGCTTTAGCTGGTTGATCTGCTCCTGTCAATCAGAATGCAATAGAGAGCTAATAGCTAGTTGGAAGTTATCATGGGGCTAATAGCTATAAGCAACCTATCGGTTGTTTATCCCATTATCCCATTGCAGAGGTGCTGCAGATTCTTTGTCAGTCTAGTTACTGAAAGGCACAGAAAAACACGGCAAATAACACATATTACAGACAGGAAATTACACCACAGAGCCCTCATCTGTGGGAGAGGAAATGCAGTTTAATTATGTTTATATGTATTTATATCGTATTTATATAATTAAT